GAAGGTTCTCATTATCCAACCTATAATTTTTCTAGCAAATGAGATAGAGACATTGTTGTGGTCTTTGAAAGTGAGATCCTATGACATTATCACTCCCAGGTCCTTCACATTAGTTTTTAATTCAAGTGTGTGGTTAGAATTTGTTGTATACTCTGATACAGTTTTAGCCCCTTGACTGTCGCAACCCCCAATCCTGAGGCGTCTCCTGGTGTCGCAAACCCCTCCCCCCCAACCCCAAAAAAAAAAAAATTCTTATGAAATGATAGAAAATCTTTTCCCAATTGTAATGACACCAAAAGAACGAAATTTGATGGAAAACTGACGGAATTACACTCTCGCGAAGTTAGCGACCTCAGCGATATTTACAAATCGGCGATTTTGCCCATTTTGAGCCCTATTTTTGGCCAATTCAAATGTTCCAGTCAACCAAACTCATAGCTATTTCTTTAGAACTCCATTTTTTCTATTGACTGAGTACAAGAAATTGCTCATTTATCGATTTCAACTACCCAAAAACGTGGTCAGAAATTTGCAATTTGGCCAATTTCACGAAAATTAAAAAATATGACAATTTCAAAATAAGGTCCAGAATAAACAATGCAGACATTCCTGGCTCTAAAATAACATTTTCTTATTTCATCAGTCATGTCTCCAGGCCCTTCTGATATTACTCTTGCTTTCTATTTTGAATTTTTATTCAAACAAAAAATAGAAGATTTACTGTTACGCAGACTACTGCAATATTGTAATAATTGTACAAATAATGTCAACCCATTCATGACTGCATATAAGAATGGCTAGTTGGACATTTATTGGAAAATGACATCATTTGTTTGCTTTTGAACATCGGCAAAAATCAAACATTTCCCCTACTTTGAGCTCCATTTCAAGGTTCTTTTCATAATAAAACCAAATCAAAACCACCTCTATTTCTATAATATGTTTTCCATTCTATCAAATGAAACCAAGAAAACGAGAATACAACCATAAATACTATACAAAAATAGACCACAAAGTCAGCATTTTAATTAAAAAAAGCGGTCGGAGATTTTTTCTCTCATTATGCACTGCATGCTGCAGGATTTTTTTTATATGGTGCACACTGACCACACAGACCCATTCTCTCACATGTGGGCCTACCAGCTTTCTCCTGCTTGATTTGAAGCCGCTAGAATTTATGAGTATACATGTATCATGCGTCAAACACGGTGGCTCGTAAGACGTATACGTATATACAACCGAAACAGTCAAAGGGTTAATTTCCTCAAGTTTTCCATAACTGAGTAGTTTAAATTTCTCTTCACAAAATTCATATTCATTTCTACGGTCCATTTAAAGATTTGGTCAATGTCTGCTTGGAGTTTTGCAGTGTCTTCGATAGAGGACACTGTCATGGCAATTCAGGTGTCATCTGTAAAGGAAGGCATGGAGCTATGACTTACATCTCTGTCTATATCCGATATGAGGATGAGAAACAGCATGAGAGCAAGTACTGTGCCTTGTGGAACAGAGCTTTTCACTGTAGCCACCTCAGACTTTACTCTGTTTACTATTACTCTTTGTGTTCTATTTGTTAGGAAGCTATAGATCCATCTACCAACTTTTCCTGTTATTCCTTAATTGCGCATTTTGTGCGCTATTACACCGTTGTTGCATTTGCCGAAGGCTTTCGCAAAGTTTGTGTATACTACATCTGCATTTTATGCTCTAAAGCATCCAGGACCTTGTCACAGTGGTCCAGTAGCTGGGACAGGCAGGAGCGACCTGCTCTAAACTCATGTTGCCCTGGGTTGTGTAACTAATGGGTATCTAGATGGTTGGTGATCTTACTTCTTAGAACCCTTTCAAAGATTTTTATGATATGGGATGATAGTGCTATCGGTCTGTAGTTCTTTGCAATTGCTTTACTGCCACCTTTGTGGAGTGGGGCTATGTCTGCTGTTTTTAGTGACTGTGGGATGTCCCGTGTCCATGCTCCCTCTCTATAGAATGCTGAAGGCATGTGACAGGGGCTTCTTGTAGTTCTTGATCAACATGGAGTTCCACAAGTCCTGGCCTTGGGCAGAGTGCATGGGCATGTCATTAATAGCCTTTTCAAAGTCTTCTGGTGTTAGGATAATATCAGAGATTTTTTAAATGACCAGATTTTAGGTCTCGGTCATAACAAATTCATTGAGATTCTTAACCCTTAGTCTGGTTAATGGCTTGCTGAACACCAAGTTGTATTGGGACTTTAGTATCTCACTCATTTCTTTGCTGTCATCTGTGTAGGTCCCATCTTGTCTAAGCAGGGGTCCAATACTGGATATTGTTTTCCCCTTAGATTTAGCATAGGAAAGGAAGTATTTTGGGCTTCTTTCTATTTCCTTGATGGCTTTAAGTTCTTACTGAGATTCTTGTCTCCTGTAGGATTCCTTAAGCTTCTTAGCACTATCATCTGTATCACCACTGCTTTTTTGCTTAACATCAGACATAGTGAGAGTATAATAATCACAAATAACACTGAATTTGTGGAGAACAAGCACGCATATGAATGATGCCAATAAACCTAATATATGTTGTTTACATTTCGGCACTTCCCACGCTACATTGCCACCACCACGCAGCAGACTGCAAACTAAATCTTATGCTCAAATTAACGACTTCAGGGCAAATTGTTTGTATTATCAAAAGTTCGCAATGCAAATATTCATATGTGGGGGAGTCTCTGTATTTGGGAGTGGACTAGTCAGCAGATGGATCTATGAAATATGAGGTGAATCGTAGAAGTGAGGAGGGGAAAAAGGCGAGTGGTGCACTGAGGAGTCTGTGGAGACAAAGAACGTTATCTTTGGGAGCAGAGGGGAATGTAGAATAGTATAACGGTACCAACGCACTTATATGGGTGTAAAGCATGGGTGATGAATAATGCAACAAGGAGAAGGCTGGAGGCAGCAGAAATGTTGTGTCTCAGGGCAATGTGCAGTGTGAATATTATGCAGAGCCTGGAGATTAGGTGCCTGATTTCCAGAGGGCAGAGGAGGGAGAGTTGAGGTGGTTCTGTGGAAAAAATTCTCCAGTAAAGGGGGTATCTCTCAGCCCTCTGAGGGACTTAGCCCTCCCTCAAGGGGCTAATGGACTCTTCCTTCTTCGCAACCAGCTTTATGAGGAATATATGTATGTACCACAGTGTCATGAGGCACACCTTCCTCTCCTTCCTAGAGTTCCCGATCAACTACACAATGAAGTTAAATGAGAGTAATTACTCTCTTCTCCATAGCAGGAAAATTATGTGTAAACCTGCACTTCGCTTTATCTACAAGTTGGGACTATTAGGAATTCTAGTCTATAGCTAGATAACTAGAAACCTACCCTCTTGTATTAAATACTATTGCAATGTGTAGTAAGGAAGAGATATAAAGCTGAACTCAGTAGTTCTTTTGTGCAGAGGGTGACTTGTGGGCATTTGGGCAGGGCGCCAAAATACGTTGAATTCAGATATCGGAGCGTGCACACATCACAAATCGCCTGCCGAGAACAGAGAAAATACTGACTGTGCAGTAAACTCTGAAATACTGTCAATCTCCACTAGAAAAACTAGTGTTTAAAAGAAACAAATGTATTATCCGCAGTATAATCTCAATGAGTGTAAAGTATGTGTTACAGTATGCATTCAGGTGTTATGAACGAAGTGACTCCCTATCAATGAGTGAGGACATAACTATGCATCTGTGCAGGCTACTCAAGACATCAATACTGGGGTCATACTTCCCCTACCACAAACTAAGATAAATTGGATCATTTACAATACCCAGGTAAGTCCACCTAATTACGTTAGCTGCAGCTTATAGGTAGGGGATGAGATATGACTGGAATTACCAATAGATCCCATGATATGTGGGTGATTCACCCAAACCCATGTATCACTACGCATTTCAGATGATAGTAAAATGATGGATATACGCTCCTTTGGGGCAAATTGTTTTCTAACCAAACTGTTAATCAACAGCCACTGTGGAATCTGCAACGGCACCCTGAAGGGATTTCCAGGGAAAGGCTGCTAGACATCGTGCTGTTACAGATAGATATCAATTGCTATGTTTGTTTCATGCAGGAAAGTGTACTTATCTAACCAGTTCTCCACAGGTTCAGACATTTAGAAAGGATTAAATGAAATAAGAATGACTTGGAGGGCATATAAATCTGTAGTGGAAGTTAAGGCAGGGTAGGGATCGTCCTAAAGAAGGTTGGAGGTAGGTGGTAAAAGGAGGTTTTGTGTGCAAGGGGCTTAGACTTCCAGCAAGCATGTGTGAGTGTGTTAGATAGGAAAGAGTGGAAGCAAATGGTTTTTATGACTTGACATGCTGTTGGAGTGTGAGTAAAGTAACATTTATGAAGGGATTCAGAGAAACAGGTTAGCCAGCCTTGAGTCCTGAAGGTGGGAAAGACAGTGCCTGCACTCAGAAGGAGGGGTGGAGATATGTTGCAATTTTTAACTGTGGTGTACACATGCCTCTGGCAAGACAGTGAGGGAGTAAATGATAATGAAAGTGTTTCTTCTTTTTGGGTCACCCTGCCTGCCTCGGTAGGAAACAGCCAATGTGTTAAAAAAATAAAAAATATAACTTAAAATAATGAAAAGTGAAACTGATGTTGGATATCCTGTTAAGAACATTAACACAGTTTAATAAGGATAGGTTACCCTAGGTTAAAATGCTTTTATAAGATGCAGTAAAGAAAAAAAAACACTTATAAACTCCCTTATCTATATCACAATTTTAGGGGAAAATAAGTATCAGGTTTAAAAATATTATGATCTATTCTTAATAGAAGTTGATTCAATACAAGGGTTCAAAAGTAAGTATGATAAAGCTATTTCACATTATTCGGTTAAAAGTTAAGAGGGCGACTCAAGAGCTAGAGCTTATCAATTACAAATTCAAGTAAGTAATTACAGACACTACCATTCCTTATTTCCCAGTAAATTGGACTCAAATTTTGTGCAAATTTTAGCAACATACTTTTTCTATTTCTGGAATTGTTCTGGAGCAATAAATGAGCTTGGTGAGATTTTGTGGATATGCCCTTAGATAGGAGATGGTTAAAGAAAGCAGTGTGATGGTTTTTCCAGTTCCAGAAGGCATCTCCAGTAAACAGTGGCCCTGGAAATTAAAAGAAAATTTTATCATTAATACAAAATAAAAATAATTACTTTAACAATTATAATTACAAGCAAGAGCTTATGTTATACATACCACACAACATGGTTTTTGAATGTTTTATTTGGTTCCATGAAAATTCTAAATGAACCTCCAAAATTTATTTGGAAATTATGCATTATATCACATGTTTTAATCCTCCAGCAATGGTTTTCTGGAAATTCTTCAGCATGTGCTGCAGTTTAAATATCACACTCTGAGGGAGCTGGCATGGGCCTGCCCTCAAGTGAGCCCACAGCTTAGCATGCTGGTGCAAACAAGTCATTACAGAGTATTTCATGTTTATATGGAATCATATTTCTACACGTGTTCTACATCAGGTGTCTCTAAACTTTTCACTACAAGGACCACATCATATATTTTACACATTTTCATGAGCCAAAGAAGAATATCAGTCTTATAAATGAATGAAAAAATTTAAATGAATAAGTTTTATTTTGATCCTTTTTGTAACCAGCATGATATGATTCAGAACGAAAGAGAAATGTGACAATTACAAAGAAACAATACAGGTTGACCATCACTAATCCGGCATGATCAAGACCTGTAGGGTACCAGATTAGTGATTTTGCTGGATTACAGAGTGGCTAGGTTAGAATGCGCTTAACCCAATGGCAATAATTATGCATTGGCGATTTCACCTATTTTATGCCCTATTTTTGGCCCATTCCATTGTTTCAGTCAACCCAACTCATAGCTATTTCACTAGCATTCCTTCTATTCTGTCTTTTGAGTACAAGAAACTGCCCATTTACCTATTTCAACTACCCAATAAAGTGGTTAAAAATTGGTAATTTGGCTAATTTCACACAAATTTCAAAAGATGCCAATTTCAAAGTAGGGTCCAGAATAAACAATGCAGACATTCCTGGCACTAAAATAACATTTTCTTTGTTCATTACTCATGGAGTCAGGCCCCTCTTATATTATGCTTGCTTTCCCTTTTGAATTTTTATTCACACACTGTTATGCAGACTACTGCATTACTGTAATAATTGTATAAATAATGTTAACCCATTTGTGTCTGCATGACTGCATATTAGGCTGGCCAGATGGACACATACTGGATAGTGACGTCATTTGTTTACTCTTGAACATTGGAAAAACTGAACATTTCTGCTACTTTGAGCTCAATTTCAAGGTACTTTCCATCATGAAACCAATCAACATCATATCTTTTTCTGTAATATTTCTTTCATTCTATCAAATGAGACCAAAAAACAGGAATACAACTGTTACAAACCCAGGAAAGAGACAATTGTGGAAGTGGTTGATTGAGCACTTCGGCGCTGCTGCCAGGCAGCAGTACCCAGTGTGACATCATCGCACTTTATGTCAAGGCTGGTGAACCAATCTAATACAGCTTGTCCACTACTGCTCACCGAGTCTGACAGCCTCAGTTACCTGATGGCCTTATGCAGTGTGTTCACCACTGAGTCTGACGGCCTCAGAATTATCTGACGGCCGCATTCAGTGCACTCACAACATAGTGTGTTCTGCACAGCACTGAGAGTGAAGACCTCATACCCAGTGAGTTTAGCACAGCTTCACAGCTTGACTATGCTGATAACGTCTCCTGCTGACAAAGAATGTTTCCTGCTGGGAACTTGGACTTAGTTTCCTGATGGCAGCGACTGGACCTAGTTTGCTGCTGAGAACGACTGGACTTCGTTCCTGATGGCATCGAATAACTTAGTTCCTGTTGACTACGACTGGACAGTTTGCTGATGGCAGCGACTGGACTTAGTCAGCTGGCCTCCACAATGGTGTTGGTGACAGACACTGCAAGTTGTCTTGTGTACACAATGTGTTTTAACGCAGAGATAAGGGTGTCTCATGGACACGGTAGCGAAAGAGTGTAGATTTACACGGAGATAAGGGTGTCATGTAGACACGGTAGCGAAAGAGTGTAGATTTACACGGTGACACGGGTGTCATGTAGACACGGTAGCAAAGGTGTGTAGATGTACACGAAGACAAGGGTGTCATGTGGACACGGTAGCGAAGGTGTAGATTTACATGGTGACAAGGGTGTCATGTGGACACGGTAGCAAAGGTGTGTAGATTTACACGGGGACAAGGGTGTCATGTGGACACAGTTGAGATGGTGTTATAACGCTGAGAAAGGTGTCGTGTGACACTGTTACAATGGTGTTGTGTGTCATAGTTGACACGGGTGTTTGTGATATTGTAGTCAATTATGTGTCAGTTGTGACACGGGTGATATTGTAGTAATGTGATGTCAATAACGGATAGTTTTGTTTGTGATATGGTGCTTTGTAATGTGATAATTCTAGTCGTGTATCTGATATTGTAATGTGATAATGAAACCAAAGAATACACTTTTATGTTGTCTTTTATAATGCTCATATTTTATAATTTACTAGTAAAGATTAAAAATATTATGTGTATTTTTGTACTCCTGGACAAATATTCTTATTACAGTTTGGATGATGGGCTAAGAATAATATGGTAATTAACAGGCTAGTTGAAGCTTTAATCATCCAGATTGTAATATTGTAATAACAACCATAAAAAAACGTGAAAATACACCGCAATGTAGCTGTTTTACATGAAAAACATGGTCACAGTTTTTTTTCTCATTATGCACTGTGTGTTGCAGGATTTTTTTATATACTACACACTTACCACACAGGCCCATTCTCTCATATGTACGCCCAAATTTACTAGTCACAGCATATCTAAGTAAGCTGAGCTTTTGGCAACCAACAGAAGCTTCAAAGCCACCTTATCTTTTATGGACAATGTATGTATATGTGCTATACACAATGAGAAGCATTTCTTTTATTCGTTGGAACCATGGCTAGGGCAAAAAGTGACCAGGTTATAACAATAAATGGAAAAAAGAAATTGGAATGACTTATGCAGCAAGCAGCGCCACCAAACACTAGCGGCAGGTTGGTGTGGCAACCCCAGAAATTTGAAATTATGCTAGTTGAAATTAGTACCGGATTACTGTTAGAACCGGATTACTGATTGCCAGATTAGTGATGGCCGACCTGTATTAGTACAGTATGCAAGTGCATACATCATAATTATGTCAAAGACAAGTCACCATATCATCTTATTTTAACAAACCCACAAAGTATATAAATCTGAGAATTTAATTTTACATTCTCATTAAGATAATTACTGCACAATAAAAACACTTACATTTCTTCATAATTCATATCCCTCATACAAAAATAATTAAGCAATCATGTTTCTACATTAACACCATGCATACAGTTAAATTAAAATTTGTAAGAAACTTTAACGGCAAACTTTTCTTCTACTTAAACAGCACCATAGATGTGCAGGTTCTTTAAGTGACTGACTTTAAGCTTAAAATTTTTTTTAATACAACAGCCATCTCCCACCGAGGCAGGGTGACCTGAAATAGACATAACAAAAGTTTTTCTTCTTTTTAAATTTAGTAGTTTATACAGGAGAAGAGGTTCCTAGTCCCTTGCTCCTGGCACTTTAGTCAGCTCTTACGACATGCATGGCTTATGAAGAAAGGATTCTTCTCCACTTCCCCTTGGATTAGGCTTAAAGATGTTACACACACACACAAAAATAGAGGAGCATTGCAGTATGCCTTCTGACGTATACAATAATAGGAAGGCCCCCACCAACACCCAACCATTCCCACTCTAATATAGTACTGTATCTGTTTAACCTATTTTTTGAATTCCAAATTACATTTCAAACACTAAAGTACCTTAGCATCAAGGGCTCTCTTGAGATCCAACATGTATGAGTATTGCTCAGGGTAGATAAAATCATATGGAAAATACACCTGCAACCCATCCACATCAAGCCTGCAAAAAATTAAAGAATGATTAGTTTGAAACATAATTTTTCACTTTTCAATAGCACAATGCTAAATTTCAAGTTAAATTACAAGTTCTGTAAAATAAATTTTATGTATATCACTGTATTTTGGCCCTGTAAGCACAAAGTGGGAGTTGTCACAGTTGCTCTTTGCTGATGACACTGTGCTTTTGGGAGATTCTGAAGAGAAGTTGCAGAGGTTGGTGGATGAATTTGGTAGGGGATGTAAAAGAAGAAAATTAAAAGTGAATACAGTGGACCCCCGCATACCGTCGGCATCACATAACGTTCAATCTGCATACCGCTCACTTTTATCGCAAAAATTTTGCCTCGCATACCGCTCAAAAACCCGCTCACCGCTGTTCGTCTGAGACGTGTCCAATGTGCACCCTTAGCCAGCCTCACATGTGCCGCCAGTGGCATTGTTTACCAGCCAGCCTCCGCGGTAACATCCAAGCATACAATCGGAACATTTCGTATTATTACAGTGTTTTTGGTGATTTTATCTGCAAAATAAGTGACCATGGGCCCCAAGAAAGCTTCTAGTGCCAACCCTACAGCAATAAGGGTGAGAATTACTATAGAGATGAAGAAAAAGATCATTGATAAGTATGAAAGTGGAGTGCATGTCTCCGAGCTGGCCAGGTTGTATAATAAACCCCAATCAACCATCGCTACTATTGGTGGTACAGCTGCTGCTGCTGCTGTACCACTGTCAGCTGCTGCTGCTGCTGCTGCACTGTCAGCTGCTGCTGCTGCTGTACCACCGTCAGCTGCTGCTGTAGTACCGTCTGCTGCTGCTGTAGCATCGTCTGCTGCTGCTGTAGCATCGTCTGCTGCTGCTGTAGCACTGTCAGCTGCTGCTGCTGTTGTACCACCGTCAGCTGCTGCTGCTGCTGCTGTTGTACCGTCTGCTGCTGCTGTAGTACCGTCTGCTGCTGCTGTAGCATCGTCTGCTGCTGCTGTAGCACTGTCAACTGCTGCTGCTGCTGTAGTACCATCTGCTGCTGCTGTAGCATCATCTGCTGCTGCTGTAGCACTGTCAGCTGCTGCTGCTGCTGTAGCACTGTCAGCTGCTGCTGCTGCTGCTGCTGCTGTAGCACCGTTGTTGGTGTGGCTTATTGAGAATACCAAGAAACAATTAACCCCAGAGGATTTGCCACCCAGGATAACCCAAAAAAGTCAGTGTCATCGAAGACTGTCTAACTTATTTCCATTGGGGTCCTTAATCTTGTCTCCCAGGATGCAACCCACACCAGTCGACTAACACCCAGGTGAACAGGGAAAAATGCCTGGAACTAGTGCTCATATTGGTGAATTTAAAGCCAGCAAAGGTTGGTTTGAGAGATTTAAGAATCGTAGTGGCATACACAGTGTGATAAGGCCTGTTCTGGAAGAAAATGCCAAACAGGACCTACAGTACTCAGGAGGAAAAGGCACTCCCAGGACACAGTGTCTCATCAGTCATTGCTGCATCTTCAATAAAGGTAAGTGTCATTTATTCTTCATTTAGTAGAGTAGTACATGCACAATATATATTGTGCATGTACTACTCTACTATTGTGCATGTATCTTCTCTTTGTGTGTAGGAAAATGTATATTTCATGTGGTAAAAAAATTTTTTTCATACTTTTGGGTGTCTTGCACGGATTAATTTGATTTCCATTATTTCTTATGGGGAAATTCATTCGCATACCGATCATTTCGCATAACAATCAGCCCTCTTGCACGGATTAAAGTCACTATGCGGGGGTCCACTGTACAATACAAAATAAAGATTGATCCAAGGAAGAGGATATCAGATCCAAGTCCTTGTATCAAGAGACCCTTAATGACATTAAGGAAATGCCCTCGAGTGGCTGTAATAAACACAAAAATGTTACAGGCATTCATCAGATATTAATTATGTATAACTGAGGATAAGAGAAGTCAAAGTAAGATTAACCTGCCAAATAACTTTATGGCTGTAATTTTTTTTAAATAATGTAATGTCAATTCTTTGAAAAATAATTCTTAGTAATGTAGTTAAAGAGTACAGTGGACCCCCGGTTCGCGATGCTATCGGTATCCGATAAATCTGGTAACCGATGCATTATATCGCAGAAAATTTGCCTCGCTTCCCGATACAAAACCCGGTATGCGATGTGGTTCGTACGAGACGTATCCATGTGTGGCCTGAACTGCCCCGTGTGTGCCAGTGTTTACAAGCCGGCCAGTGTGCGCGCATCTAAGGATACATTCGGTACATTCCATATTATCCATATTATCACTGTTTTTGGTGCCTGTTTTTGCAAAATAAGTCACCATGGGCCCCAAGAAAGCTCCCAGTGCCAACCCTTCGAGACCAAGGGTGCTAATGACTGTTGAAATGAAGAAAGAGATAATTGCAAAGTACGAAAGTGGAGTGCGTGTGTCGGAGCTGGTCAGGTTGTACAGTAAACCCCAATCAACCATCTCTACTATAGTGAGCAAGAAAACGGCAATCAAGGAAGCTGTTATTGCAAAAGGTGCAACTGTGATTACGAAACAGCGACCGCAAGTGTTAGAAAATGTTGAGAGACTGTTATTGGTCTGGATAAATGAAAAACAGATAGCAGGAGATAGCATCTCTCAAGCAATCATTTGTGAAAAGGCTAGGCAGTTGCATGACGATTTGGTAAAAAAATTGCCTGCAACTAGTGGTGATGTGAGTGAATTTAAGGCCAGCAAAGGTTGGTTTGAAAGATTTAAGAATCGTAGTGGCATACATAGTGTGATTAGGCATGGTGAGGCTGCCAGTTATGTTGTGCGACAGAAGTTCATTGACTCTCAAGCTGGTCCTAGTGGCATTAAAAGAAGAAGGGAAGTAACCCCGGAAAAGGACTTGCTACCTCAAGTCCTAATGGAAGGGGATTCCCCTTCTAAACACTAACACCATCAACACTCTCCCCTCCTCCCATCCCATCAATCATCACCAGATCTTCATTAAAGGTAAGTGTCAATTATTCTTTCGTTATTTATTGTTATTTATTGTTATTGTTTATTGTAACTACTATTCTATTGAATTAAACTTAATATTTCATGTGGTAAAAACTTTTTTTTTCGTACTTTTGGGTGTCTTGCACGGATTAATTTGATTTCCATTATTTCTTATGGGGAAAATTGATTCGCTTTCCGATATTTTTGGTTTACAATGAGCTCTCAGGAATGGATTAGTATCGCAAACCGGGGGTCCACTGTATTACATTAATCAATTTAAGTGTTAATTATTTTTTTTTGGTAAGTTACATATGAGTAATTTAGCAAAGTTAGGTGATTACAAGTATAATACATAGTAAAATGTGTAAATTATCTAGGATAACCCCAAAAAAGTCAGAGGCTTATTTTCATTGAAGTCCTTGTAATTTCAATGGGATACGCGTGCTAAACACATAGGGATCACATACCTACTTTGGTATAGGAGGTATTCAGGTTTGATCCAAGGAAGGAGAGGACACGACCAGTTCCCTGGATCATGAGTCCCTCACCAGCATCAATGCACCTCCTTTGAGAGAGATTAATTTAAATAACCCAGAATTATCATATTACAGTAACCGCTAACACTCGAACTTACAACATCTTGGCAACTTTGCTCCTCCTACTGTGTAATGTAAGGCTCACTGCGCTTTACCAGCTCTACAAAGGTTACAGTACCAGAACACACGGTTCAGTGTCTCGTTGTTGTTGTTGTTGTTGGGGTTTATAAGGCCACGGTTCAGTGAATGAAGATGAATCTTTCTTTCTTTCTTTGTTGGATTTACCAGGGCCACTAACAGCTTACGCCGTATTGAACCCGACTTCCCGATGTATTCAATTCAACTCAATTCAATTCAAATTTATTCTCTATAATGGTTACAATGTGGGGTTTACAGGTTTTGGGTATTTTGTGGTTTACATGTTATAAAATACTAATTACAGAGGGGGCCACTAGGACACATAGCATGGCTAGGCATTTCGAGCAGACTTAGATTAATTCTTAATGTTAAATCCTTACAGATTATGGTATTAAGGCTAAGTGACTACATCATAATTTGTGAGTTTAGCAATGTGAATGCTTTTGTTTTGGCATAATACAAGGTGTCTACATTTGAGTATCATAGGCAAACTTATGACTAGTTAGGATTTATTATTTTAAGATTAAGATTAGTATTTCTGGGTTTATAGTCAGTGGGTGAGTGTGTGTAATTTTGAACCACCAGGTGGTTATCATGTAGTTAGTTGTCGGGGTGGATCAGGGAGATAAGCTGTTTTTTAACTGTAGTTTTGAAAGTGATGAATGTGTCTGCAGTTCTAGAGTTTTCAGGTAGGGTGTTCCAGATTTTAGGTCCTTTGAAATACATTGATTTTTTTGTAAAGGTTTAGTCGAACACGGGGAATGTCATAGAGATGTTTGCGTCTGGTGTTATGCCTGTGGATCCTGTCACAACTATCAAGAAAGCGTTTTAGGTCAAGGTTAATATTGGAATTTAAGGTCCTGTAGATATAGATTGCACAGTAGTAAGTGTGGATGTTCTGAACAGGGAGTAAGTTTAGATCTATGAAGAGTGGTGGGGTGTGTTGCCAGGGATGGGATTTAGTGATTATTCTTACAGGGAAGATGTTTTGGCCAAAGCTGAGCCACGACAAAAAGTAACGAAAGTTCCTTTGTAAATAGAAATGGAAACTTGAAGTTTCCTGTGGAAAATACTGTATATATTTTCCAGAAATGCAGTAGTTATATGTAAATAGATGGCCATACTGTATTTAATAAAATTTATGTTATCGAAAACGGGAAGCTGTGCTTGCGCAGAAGGAGAGTCGCCATTGTTATTTTGAATTGGATACAACGTTAGTGTAATGGGAAGGAATTTTCGTGCTCTAGAGGTTAAAATTGGGCTGACACCTCTCAAATAGGAGGCGAAATTGTTGGATGTGGATTCCTGCATAACTTGAGATATCAGGCGACAGGACAGGACAACTCCAGGAACCTCAGATAAGCTGTCTAATTTATGTTTAAATTCTGGCCAGTAAATTTTTCATAAATGTAGGCAAAAGGGGGGGTCTTGTACATGATACATTAATCTCCAGTCAGATTGGTAAGTAAGTAAGTAAGTAAATTTATTCAGGTATACACAAATACAGTTACATAGAATTATCATACATAGCAGCATATGTGTAGAGAACCTAGGATAACCCAAAAAAGTCAGACAGAGTGACTTATTTCCATTGGGGTCCTTTGGTGAGTGTTAGGATTAAGATATATTCTCCTTCTGTTATATAACTGTGTTTATATATAACCATTTATTATTTTTAATATACAGTCCACAAATTTATATATTTACCAGTATTCCTGGTGATACATATTTCATTGGTAATTAATAGGTCCAGAGCAACTTGTGGATATGACAGTGGTAGGTATCGAAGGGGGACATTTTTTGCGACCTAGGTGTCCCAAATTCCTACTTGTCTAACTGATAAATAATAATTATCTGTGTTCATTTACTGTTATGTACATAATGATACATTCAGATAAATGTAATTTTCCACATTTCCAATTAGATCAGGTGGACCCCTTTTGCCAAGCCCTAGCACTTCGAGACGCCCACACACCCCAAAATAAGTTTAGTAACCGGCTTCCCACCAAAACCGTTAAAGAATTATCTTCAGAGCGGAAAAATGGAGCTAGTAAGTTTATTCAGATATACACAAATACAGTTAACATAGATCATCATACACAGCAGCATATATGTAGAGAACCTAGGACAACCCAAAAAAGTCAGATAGAGTGATTTATTTCCATGGCTAAAGTATATAATAATAATAAGCCTGGAGCCTGGAGAGAGTAATAAATAGTAATAGTAATAAATCTTTATTTCTACAAACCATCTCCAAAATTTTAGGCTCTAGGAAACCGTCTGGAAATATAGAGATGAACCTCACATACAGCCTATAGACACGGCCGACAAATTTAATGTGTTCTTCTCTACTGTAGGATCCAAGCTAGCAAGCCAAATTCCTAGCTCAAATACCCAGCCGAACGAGTACCTCACTGGCAACTACCCAAATACTCTATTTCTAGCTCCAACTAATTCCACTGAAGTCTCACTCGTCATTAAATCATTAAAAAACAAAGCAGGTGATCTAGATAACTTGCCACCATTCATATATAAAAAAGCTGCACATGAGCCGTCACCTATTATTCCAACAATGTTTAACAAATCTCATCTATACTCAAATCTCATCTATACTCAAGACAGCTAGGGTTACCCCAGTCCACAAAGGAGGTGATCCAACTGACTTAAACAACTATAGACCCATATCAAACTTACCCTTACTTTCCAAAATATTCATAAAAATAATACACAAGCGACTTTACTCCTACCTTACATCCAACAACATACTTAACCCATGCCAGTTTGGGTTTAGACCAAAAAAAAAAGTACGAATGACGCTATTATACAAATGCTTGAACTAATATACACAGCTCTTTATAAAAATGAATATCCTCTGGGGCTCTTCATTGACCTACGAAAAGCGTTTGATACCGTCGACCACAATCTCTTGCACCTAAAACTGAATCATTACGCCATCAGAGGACATTCTCTTGACTGCCTAAAATCCTGTCTTATCGACAGACACCAGTATGGAGTCAACTCCGCTATCCAACCTGTAGCTGTAGAAGTACCCCAGGGTAGTGTCCTAGGCCCACTCCTCTTTCTCATCTACATCAATGATCTCCCCAATGCATCCCAACTCCTTAAACCAGTTCTATTCGCAGATGACACTACATATGTCTACTCACATTCAGACCCAGCTGTACTTAGAAACACTGTAAATAATGAAATGCTAAAGATATATACTTGGATGATGACCAACAAACTCACTCTCAACATAGACAAAACATACTTCATGCTGTTTGGCAACAGAGCCTTAAATATCCAACTTAATATATTGATAAATGGTTCCCCTATATCAAGGCACACGGAGGGCAAATTTCTAGGTCTTCTCCTTGACTGTAATCTTACATTTTAGTCCCACACCCATCACATAGCCAAGAAAATTTCCAAATCAGTAGGAATCCTTTCTAAGATATGCTACTATGTACCACAAACGACTCTCCTTACCCTGTACCACTCTCTAATATATCCTTACCTCACCTATGGTATCTGTGCCTGGGGCTCAACTACAGCCAACCATCTTAGACCCTTAATAATCCAACAAAAAGCTGCTGTGTGGGTGATAACCAGCTCCTGTGCTAGACAGCACACCCAACCACTTTTCAAAAGACTCAACTTGCTAAATATACAAGACATACACTCATATTATTGTCTGCTGCATATACAGAACATTAAACTCCACTATAAACCCTCCCCTAAAACTACTCCTTGACAGTTACAACAGAATACACAGTCACAATACAAGGCATAAAACACTTTTTAACGTCCTTCGAGGCAGTCTCCCACTATGCAAGAACGCTATGCACATAAAGGGCCCGAAGATCTGGAACTCACTACCGGAACAGGTCAAGGGTCCCCTGACAACTTATAAATTTAGGACTTTGCTAAAAAATCATCTTATCTCTCAATATTAACTAAATCGACCAAAACATCTGCTGGTTTTATTATGTGACCTCTAGGCTTTTAATTCTGCCAATCCATAAAATATTAACACCTGAACCATTACTTGTAATGTAAATTTTGTGTGCAATTTCAAGATTATTTTACCGAACCTTACTCCACCTTACTACCTCACATTTGTATTAAGTTTAAATAAGATTGTAAAGCAATTAACCACTACTTCTTGTCTAGTTTTAAGTATAGTTACTATTTACTATTATTTTGTCTAGTTCTAATTAGTTACTATATATTAGGATTAGTCTGCCCAAAATGCCCCGGCATGATAGTGGCTATCTTTGGGCTTAGCAAATCACAATTGTAATTACACATTGTACCCTTTACAAAGAAATAAGCTTTACTTTACTAAGTACATGTACGAGGTATACAGGCCTAGTTGACATCACTGACATAGAAAGCCACTTGCTATGCAGAGCATTTCGGGCAAATTAGGTCAATTAACACAAAGCACCAACATGAAAAGCAGTACAGAATGGGCCAAATAACTAGAGACCAGTCAAAACACTACTCGTCAGCTCTTACCAGCCTCATAGGAAGATCTAAAAATTTGTATTATGAAAACAGACTACAAACCATCAAAGGTGATATGAAAATGACCTAGAAAACTCTATCCGAAATTCTTGGAATTAAAAAGATATCCAAAAACAAAACAATCAAATTAACAAAATCAGACGAACCCCTACTCCCAGCAACTGAACAGCAACAGACTCAATGTCTTCTTCTCCACCATAGGAAAGAACTTAGCAAGCAAAATTCCAAACTCAAACACCTGTCCATGTGACTACCTCACGAACACACTATTTCTAGCTCCAACCAGCCCAACAGAAATCTCAAGTATTGTCACCAATTATTGTAACACTCTTTAACAAATCCATTGAATCCTCCACCTTCCCAACAATTCTCAAAATAGCGAGAGTCACTCCGATACACAAAGGAGGTGACCAAACTGACATGAATAACTATAGACCAATATCTAACTTACCACTCCTCTCTAAAATCTTTGAAAAATTAATTCATAGACGGATTTGTTCCTACCTCCTCTCACATAACATACTAAACCCCTGTCAGTTTGGATTCAGGAATAATAAAAGCACTAATGATGCTATCATACACATGCTAGAATTAATA